CCCACCCCACCTCGCACCAGCCCCGCCCCGCCCCGCGCCCGCATGCACGTACGGACAACCAGAGCGACGGATGGCCGAACCGGTGAGATAAATTCAATACCGTTTTCCATCCGGGGCGACGAGTCCCCGACCCGCGTTTGAGCGCCGTGATACATAATGCAATGTAATATAGGGATTCTCGTTGTTCGGCCGTAGATTCTGGGAAAATCCCCTTCAACCTACCCCCCCCTCCTCCCGCTCTCTCTCTCTCTCTCTCTCTCTCTCTCTCTCTCTCTCTCTCTCTCTCTCTCTCTCCCTCTCTCCCTGCCAATTTTCCTGTGCCGCGCGTGTCCCCGCCGTCCAACCCACAACATTAAATAAACAAATCAAAGTCCACTCCGCGGGCAAGAAATAATTATTTCAAATCACTTTATGGCAGGGCGGTCGCACGAGTCGTTTTGTGCCTCTCTGTGCACTTCCTCTTTTTGCGCCCGGCTTCCACTGTGCGGATAGGGACAGAAACAAGTAAAAGTGAATGAAACAAAAAAAAAAAAAGAGCAAGAGGAGGGCCATCGTAATTTAGAGCATATTTTGTAAATCAAAAATACAAAATATGTTGCAAATAACTTACAAAGGTATTTCTCACAGTGATGATTGTTTGATGTGTTCGATGCTCTCGTGTATCTTGAATGTTATTGGAATAGTCGCTCACATTCCGCGTGTACCCTGCCTTCACCCCCCAACCCACACCGTGCTTGTGGCCACAGGGTGTGCGGAGGTGGCGGCCCCGGGGCCGGCGTGGCGTGGGGCTCCACCTGGGGCTCGCCTGGGGCCTGTGGGGTCACGAGGCGGACCGCAAGAGACAAGCCCGGGGACGGAATGCCTGCCGCACAGTCCATCTCGACCAGGGCAACCCACCCCGCCTCCGCCCCGTCCCAACACGCTACCACGCTACCCTCATACCTCGGGGAACGCGCGCCCTTTGAACTCTGCCGCCGGCCGCCAGAGCCCTTTTAAGATAGACGAACCAGGAGGCAGAACCGCTCTGTGTTGCCAAAGTGGATGAGTCTGCCCACGCCGGCTCCCGCCTGCCTGGCAGTGGCTGGCGCTGCATCTATGGTGTTCATTTTTCAAAAGCTGCTCCTCTGCCGGCGGGGTAAAGGCACATTTGGCCCATTCTCTGTTGCGATACTCTGTATCTGATACGTGACGTGTATTCCAATGGATGGAAAATACACTCTTTGTGTGTTACTTCTATCGCACTTTGTTTTGTTTAATTTCGGGTTGGCTGAGATTAAGATGGCACGACACTGCTATAGCGCCAAAGAGCTTTCTTTAATCAAAACCGTCCGGATGTTGGTTCCAGCGGGTTCAAGGCTCTTAATAGGCATTGCCGGTCTCATAGAGCTCGGTTCCAAGCCGCTCTCCAGAAAAAGAATCGCCAGGCCATTGAGGAGTGAGCCCTTTGGCGAGTACAAAGGCGGCGCGGTGCAGCGCGGCAGCCGCGCGGCGGTGCGGCGTGGTCGAGTGCAGCGGGCGAGCAGGCAGACGGCACAGAGTCGGATAAGTCAGGTTCTCGCGGAGCAGAGAGCGCCGCCGAGAGCACTCTCTGCAGCAGCAGGGCGGCTCTGGCTGGCAGGCCCAGGGGAGAGCAGCTGGAGAGCAGCTCGATGGGGCCTAGCCCGGCCCGGGGGCCGGTGGGCTCTCCCGTCACATTGTGCTCGCCAGCGCCAGTAGGGCAAATCGAAGCTGCGGGTGGAGCTGCTGGCGTGGCCGTGTCAGGTGTGGACCCTCAGGACCCCGCGGCGGGGTGTCCCGGGTCCCGGGCGTCCTCCTCGCCCCCATGCAGCCTGCCCGACGCTTCTTTGTCGGCCCACCTCCTATTTGTTGTCTGTAGGCGCCTAGAAATCCACCAGGCCGTGGGGGCAAAGTAGCGCAAAGTTACACTGCAAATAATTACGCCGTATAACATTAGGCATGCGGATGAACCAAAGTTAGGAGTCAGCACCCTTTTCGTGGTGCTTATAAATTTCGTGCTCTTACAAACGCACTATAAAAAGTAGCACCCCTTATGCACTTTAGTCGACCACAATTCCTTTAAGGTACTGCATAGGTCCTTGGGTCACGTTTGTTTCATTATAATTTTGCCCATTATTATTTATTAGTAAGTCGTAAATTATGACATTTCGTATCTTTCATAGTAAAAGGGAGGATTAGGCGTTACGTGTCTGCGCAGTTCGGGCCGGGCCGCGCGTGCGGCCCCACTATAGTCAGTGCGCGGCGGGGTCGTCCTGTCCAGTAGCCATTAGTGACGGGCCGGGGATTAGTGTGACACTAATTGCATCGTCTCACCCCGCCCGGGGCCAGGGCGTGTCATGGGAAGGGGCGGGGCAGGGCGGGGCGTGGCGGGCTGCATCAGAGTCGGTTCGTTAAATTGGCTCTTCGCTGACTCGTCACTTTTCCCTCGTCAGTCCAGACCCTTGTTGACCCCCTCTCCCTTTTCTTTTCTACCCCTCTTCGTTAAATTGTTGGTGGCGAGTACTCTTTAAAACGTGTTCGACAAGAAGACGTCTGGCTGGCCGATGCCAAAAGATGCAGAATCATCCGTCAGCGGCAAGGTGAGCGGAGCCTATACCGCATCCAGGCGCCATGGGGAGTGGCGGTATAGCCAAGCTTGCCTGTACGCCTGCATGCGGTTCAATACAAACAACAACACACAACAATAATTACGGGTCATAATGGAATACCCTGAATTATAACGCTTAAGCACACAGCTCTCACAAATTGGTCCACTGACCTCTGCCTAGCAGAATGGACCCACACGAACACGGGCCAATCCTATGGCTGCCTCTGCTTGACTGAGTGTATTGTCTTGTAAGACTCACAAAATCGTCCAATGCCACGTCCTGTGTAGTTTTTACCGTATTTCACTTTTTGCTTAAAATTAGAAACTGAGATAGACAGACCAAAACCTAAAATAAAATTGGAACTATAACGTATGGTCTGAGTAAGTGAGGTTTCTTCCGGTGGGCGGACGCACCGCCCCCTTCCCGCTGTGCCATCACAAAACCACTACTGGTCGCCTCCCTCTGCGTCTACACCCCCCCCCCATCCCTGGCTCGCTCACCCTCACACATATCCGCTCTCTCTGTCAGCGGTTCGCCTGGAGATGTTTTATTCAATGCTGTTCAGAGAGACCTGGCTCGCGGCACCCCACACCCACAGCCCGGCCCGGCTCGGCTCTGCTTTGGCTCGGCTTGGCTCCACGCGGAGATGGCTGGGGCCAGGCTACGCGGTTGATTTTTTTTTTTTTGGCGCAACAGTCTAGCATTTATACCCCGAGCAGAGTGCTCGTCCCTCAAGGACTTCCTCCTTCCCCACCTGTCCTGCTGTCGTGTTGGTCCTCGCACCTTTTGAGGGCTGCCCGGCCTTGGCTCCACCGGGGTGGCGGGCCGGACGATCAACTTGACATCTGTGGTCGGGAGCCGGACACACCTGGACCATTCACGTCCTTTTCACGTTCCTTTCTTCCCTTTCTCCCCTTTCATTCATCCAACCCCTATCCCTCCCCTCCCTTCTATTTACACCCACATCCACGACTTTCTCGCTCACCCCTCGGGTGGTCAGCAACAACTACTCCCCGTCCCTCCTCCTCCCCCCCCCCCAAACTCAAATCATTTGGCACTCTCTCTCAGGCGGTGTTGTGTCAACCCTTTTCAAGGCAAGTCGGGGAGTGCAAAGTTCGTACGTCGTGTCTCACTTGTTCCTTTCTCTGAAATGCCCTTTTCAACGTCATAAAATGCGTTACCTGGCCATAGAACTTGTGTATTCCTTAAAGACATTAAAACGGTAATACCTGCACACAATGGTGCAAATAAGTCCTATCTTTGTTTTACAAGTGATATGACTTTTGTGTGCCTTCCAATGCGCAGTCAAGCATTTTTCCACTGTGCACATTTTTATCATCGACGTTGTCTATTGAAATTACCCAGATGCAAGAGAAGTTTCGGTTAAACTCAACAATTTTACTATTGAAATGAGCCAAAGCCAAATGGCAACTGCAGAGTGGCAGTCAGTGCTGCACCTCTTTCCCTGTGCGCATCCGTGCTTCGCTACATCGCCGAGATGTATGGGGGACGAAAGAGAAAGGGGAGGGGGGGGGGAGGGGTGAGGATACGTATGGGTTGGTCTTTGTCCCGCTGAGATAGCCAGCCAGCGCATCCCCAGCAGCAGCAGACGCGCGGGAGCAGCGACTTAGGAAAGAACAAAACAGCCCCGAGCCCACCCGCGAGCGCCATCGTGGAGAGCGCGGGTCCGCCGGGTTCGCCTCGTGGGGCTAGGAGAGAGAGAAGCGGCGACAATAAGTTCGGAGCTTCCACCCCGCTCGCTGGTTTTGTTTTAGGCTGTAATTACTGTGAACTTTTCGGCCTTGAAATTTTTTTTAGTAATGTTTGCGATATTTTCTTTTAAGAATCCTTCTCCCGCTGTTGCCTCCGGAAATACAATGAAAAACTAACAGTCGAAATTTGTGAACATAGGCAAAACTAAAATGTTGACAAATTAATTTTTGTAATATACTGTGTTTTTCGGCACTAATACTTTGCCTTTTTTTTAAGGTGTAGTCTATTTTTTTAACATAAAAAGATGAGCGAATTTGCTCGCTGAGTTGCGAGTTGTCATCGTGTCGGGCGCCTGTGAGGCGGGCCGTCCCGTCGCGCTGGGCTGCTCGGCGGGCCTGCCTACCCCGCTGTCTGCAGGCGCTTTGCTGACGCCGCCCCCTCATTGCTGCCGCCAGGTGACGCGGTGCGGCATGTCCTTGGATGAGGCGGCTGACGTCGGGCTGCCCTGCCCCGGACCCACTGCGGCGGCCTCGGCGGCGGCGGCGGCGGCTGCCTCGGGGGCCGCTGGGCTCGCCGTCAACCTCACCAGCCTGGTGGGCTGCAACACGACCCTGGTCATCAGCACGGCTGGGCCCAGCCCCTCGTCGAGCACCTTCAGCGCGCCGATCAACTTCACATGGCAGGACTTGACGGTCGTGGCCGTGTCCTGCATCGTCATCGCACTTATCGTGGTGAGTTGTCCCCCCCCCCCCCTGTTCTGTTTTTCTAGTTTATTCCAGCTCAAGCAGCAAATGTGGGCAGTAGACAGACGCGAAAAAACTTTTTTTTATGGGGAAAGTAGTGAAGAGCTGGGAAGGCCACAGTTTTGCGCAAATGCGAGCGGCAGTTTCAAACTTTCGACGGTAATGTGATTAAGGGGCGGGACGGTCGTGGACGGCCGCTCTCCACCGCCGGAGCGCGGAAATGAGGCACTTGTTTTTTTGTTTTTGTGTTTTTCGCGTGATTCGCGTGCATTACCTATTTGATTTTTCTCAGCTGTTTGTCCGGTCGAAAGGCCACTTACCCCTACTTATTTATTTCTGCGATGCCGGCGCGAGCTGGCCGCGCCCCACCTGACAGGCTGCGCGCGCGTGATTCATCGCCGCCGGCGCCTCTCTGGCCTCCCCGCCCCGAAGGGACGAAGTGAGGGAAACTGTCTTGCGCGGCGCGGCGCGGCCCGGCGGGCCGAGTCAAATGAATCACTGACCCTCGTTTTTCTGACAGCCTTGACCGCGCGGCGCGCGGGGCATAAATCAGAACAAGAGTGGATGCGGCGCTGCTCCTCTGGCCGCCCGGCCCGGTGCTCCGCCCGCAGGGTAGGGTAGGGCAGCACTGCGGGGGCGGGGTCTTCAGTTCGGGCGGGATGCAAAGGGCGGGCCCATAGGGTAGGGCACGGTAGCACTGCTGGCCCCTAAGTTCGGGCGGGATTCAAGCGCTGCCCGGGGTTAGGGTAGGGCAGGATAGCATTGCAGGGCCTTCAGATTGGTGGGGATGCAAGGGCCGCCCTGCAGGGTAGGGTAGGGCAGGGTGGCAGGGTAGCACTGCAGGGCCTTCAGTTCGGGTGGGGCAAAGGGCCGTCCCGCAAGGTAGGGTAGGGGTAGGGCAGCACTGCAGGGCCTTCAGTTCGGGTGGGGCAAAGGGCCGTCCCGCAGGGTAGGGTAGGGCAGCACTGTAGGGCCTTCAGTTTGGGTTGGATGCAAAGGGCCGTCCCGCAGGGTAGGGTAGGGCAGCACTGCAGGGCCTTCAGTTCGGACGGGATGCAAGGGCCGCCCCGCAAGGGTCCCAGGGGGACAGCGCGAGAGGAGAGGCTACAGCCCCCCCCCCCCTTGCCCTTGTCTGGAGATCGGACGGGTAGACTGCTGCGCGCTGGGAAACTCAAGGGGACGTCATTTCACTTGACCATGGGCTTTAGCAGGGGGCGAGGGGGTCCCCAGGCAAATAGGCCCGGGCGCTCGGCCGCTGCTGCAGCGACTGGCACTCCCTCCGGGGCCGGGCCCTCATCGGCCGGGCCGTGCTCCACCGCTGCGCCGAGCCTGCTGCGCGCGCCGAGATACGAACCAGAGCAGCCGAGGTCCCTGGCCCGGGCCCGACCCTTTGCCCTGATTAATGCAGTCTGGGCCCGACTGGGTATGGCCCTGTCACCGACTTTGTTGATAACGCGAGTCGATTCTCTCCCGACTAACAGGCGGCGACCGGCTGCTATCGGCAGAAGCAGGCATAGGGCCGCCCGCCACAAGGAGCAGCCTGGAGGGTTCTATTGACGTGATGCAGAGTGAAACCCTCTGCCTTTGCCTATTATACGTTCTGTGGGAGAGGTTTTCGTGTTTCCGATAAAAGAATTAGTTTAAAAAGTGTTATACTTATATCCTGCTCATTACTTAAGTTAGGAGATTTATTGACGCTACTTGCTGAAATCGTCGTGTTCTCATGCGTACTCCGTACTCATGTACTCACAGTACTCATGTGTGCAGGAAATATCTAGTAATTCACCCCCTCGATCGCCTTACAGTTGATAGTTGAGTGAGGGCAAGAAAGAGTATTACCTACCATCCCACCGTTTATAGTTGTGACCCCGCGACTGGCTGGCTGAGGAGTTCCTGTTATTCCTATTTCAATAAATTTTTAAGGACCTCGATCTGTACCGTATTATAGACTTAAAAAATTGTAGTTTACAGCAGAAACATTACGGTTATTACTGAAATACTTTTCACATTGATTGCACTATAAATAATTGAGCCAGTTGTTCATGTGTATTGCGAACACAACTCTCTCATTAGAGTACTGCAACAAACAATGGTACTTGTGCCCCAGATCGGCAACACCCTGGTGATCGTGGCGGTCATGACAACGCGCCGGCTGCGGACCATCACGAACTGCTTCGTCATGTCGTTAGCCGTGGCGGACTGGCTGGTGGGGGTGTTCGTGCTGCCGCCTGCGGTGGCGTACCAGCTCATGGGTAAGCTGAAATCTTTATTCTTTCTCATTACAGGCTTTGTAAAAACTATTGGTGAACGCTCTAGCATATTGGAAAATTGGGTGTGCAATTTTTAGTTCGTTTACTGGTCAGGGAAAGTACCTCCTTTTTTTAGAACCCATAACCCCTCTACGTCCTCGCGGCGGTGAACTGAAAATGATTTGGAAAGGTCGTCAGTTCGTCACAAGTGGGACACATTTCGGGCCAGTTTATTTTTTTATGACTGAAGGGAGGCGACGGCGGTAGGGGGTCAGCGGGGGAAGTCCCAGAGCTATTTTCACGGTCTGTTATTTGCGAAAACGATCCCCCGCCCTCAGCTTCTCGCCGCGTCCACGCCACGGGCTCGCGGACCCACAGAAGAGTTCCTCCTACCCCCGGACCTCGTCGGGTCTCTGACGTTTCCGCCCACAGCTTTCCTTGCCCCTCTCCACCTAGAAAAATCCTGGACTAAGTCTATGCGAAAATGTTGTTCAAACAAGAAAAACACACTTGTAAATAATCGTGTGCTTAAACAAAAAAAAAATATTCGAAGAGGACTGCTGATCTTATTCCAATGGTTTTTTCGCATTGTCTCAAGAGGAAAAAATACTCTTGTGCAAACCCGAGTACAAATACACTTAAATCAAGACAGGATTTTTCTGGGTGTCCCTCCGTCTCCTGCCACTCCCCTCGCGCGACCTCCAGCAGGAACATTCTCCATTTCCCCCCAGCGGCCCTTTCCTATACCCGCAGTGTCAAATATGCCCCTTGTGAGGGTCGCCGCGGGCGGGTCGCACAATGTGTCGGAGAGAAGATGCCCCCCCCCCCCTCTCTTGGCCGCGCTCTTGGCCCAACGCTTCCCCGTACTTTGGCGCACTGCATTCAGAAAAATTATTCTTTTGTTCAAGGATCAGTTACTCTGTCAATCCAAATGTGTAAATTATTGTACACTTTAAATAAAGTGTACGTTGCATGTATGCTTTAATTAATGTGTACGCATGCCCATGTACATATCTTTTAAAGTGTCATGCATGTTCACGTTGTTTTAAGCATACATACCATGTTCACGTTGTTAAAAGCATACATACCACGTACACTTTATTTAAAGTGTACAATTTACACATTTGGATTGACAGAGTAGTTTCCTAAGAAGAAAAAAATTGCTATCTAGTAAAACAAATAAACAATTGAACGGAATTTCCTTAAATTAAAGAGACCTTTTTGTGAGTGTGGCGCGGGAAGGGTTCTTACTTTTGGAACTTGTTAAGCACCGCTAGGCCGGAATCAACTGGAAAGGGAAGAAGAAATACTGCAGCCTCGCGTGCCTGCAGCCCTTGGCGCCCTGGAGGCGTGCCCGGAGAGGTGTGTCTGGAGGGGGGCGGGGCGGGCCGAGTGTCTGGCG